GGTGACGCGATCATATCGAGCAAACGTGGAATGAACTATTTGTACACTAAAAACTACCTAGTCTGCAAGTTGACATTTTGTCTGTTTTCTCAATGGTATTGAAATAGTTTCTCCGAACGCGCAAAGCATGTTTGTATAACAAGTCCTTTCAGACACGTTGCTGTCCAATGAGCGTGAAAGAAGTGTTATTTCATACGTCAGCGTATTGTTATCCGCTGGCCGATATCGTAATCGATTTCAATAAATTCCTTGCATTATTTCGAGCGCCGAATTCTTATTCTTCGCAAAATGTGTGGCACTCCTGATTACGGACAAAATAATATAATCGCAATATTCTGGATCGCGATTGGCTTGACTATAATGCTGAGATGAATAATTGTCGATCTTTTCAAAATGTAAATATTTGATATCCGACCTCTTGTAAATACAGTTCTTATGTTAGTATATTCGTTCATGTATTCTCTTTGGGGATATAATAAAAGTGAAGATTTAACTGATGCTTCAAATTCTACCCTTACTATTGGGGGTAAAGTTGCGTGTTTAGGTAAGCGATAATAACACTGATCAACAGCCAAAAAATATCCTAAATAAAATCAACAAAATATTACTATTTTTTATGTGCTAAAACCGGAATGAAACTTATTTTTCCAATATTAGTTCAAGTTTTAGAGATACGGTAATTATATGTGTTCCTGCTGTGGCAGTGTTAATATACTGTAATTCACAAGAATGCACGTGCCACATTTTTATATTCGGCAAGGAAAGATGATGTAATCGGCATGATTGTGTTACGTTATACATACGTGTACATTATATCGTTTTATATTAGCCATTTTTTCCTCAGTTGGCTGACAGCGTTCATGCAAGATGTCTCAAAAGTGTGTAAACAATCCAGATCAGTTTTGTTACGTGTGTGGTGATGTGACTTTTGTGTCTCAGAGACGGTCTATTACTCCACTAATAACAACGGCATATCAGCTTTATTTCGGTTGTAAACTAGGTGATCAAGACAAACAGTGGGAACCCCACATCTGCTGTAATACATGTGCTTCAAGTCTGAGGAGCTGGATAAATGGCAAAAAACTGTCCCAATGGTTTGGAGAGAGCCTACAAATCATATTAATGATTGTTACTTTTGCATGGTACCTTGTGTTGGACAAGCCACAGGTATGTCCAAGAAAAAAAAATCGGTTATTAACTACCCAAACATACCATCTGCGATGAGACCTGTGCCTCACAGTGACGAAAATCCTATTCCAAAACCCCCAGAATCCTACACTTGCGATCAGATCATGGCGATCGAGTGATTCGTCAGGAAGAAGATATGCCATCAAGGTCAAGAGATCCTAATTTTATACCGAGCACGTCATGCCACCAACCGCACAAAATAACACAGTCAGAATTAAATGATCTTGTAAGAGATTTAGAATTTCCAAAATGTAAGGCAGAGTTACTTGGATCAAGACTGCAGCAGTGGAACTTGTTAGAAGACGATGTTTCGGTATGTGTTTTTCGTAAACGCCACAAAGACTTAGAACCATTTTTCAATATGGAGAATAACTTGTTTTCTGCAGTAACATTAACGGCTTACTGGCGGCTTTAAATATAAACTATAACCCAGAAGAATGGAGATTGTTTATAGACAGTTCAACATTGAGTTTAAAGGCAGTGTTATTGCATATTGGAAATATTTTACCATCTCTTCCTGTAGGGTATGCAGTTCACATATGACAATATGAAGAACCTATTGACATGCATAAAATACGATGAGCACCAATGGCATATTTGTGGCGATTTGAAAGTTGTTGCACTTTTACTTGGGCTGCAGCTAGGCTAGACAAAGTTTTGCTGTTTTTTGTGTGAATGGGACAGTCGGGCAAAGGCACTTCATTACACCAGACAAAACTGGCCTGTTCGTCAATTCCTAGAGCCAGGTCAAAAAAATGTACAGCATATGCCATTAGTAGATTCGAAAAAAAATTTATTACCACCACTCCATATCAAGTGAAAAACTTTGTCAAGGCATTAGATAGAGATGGGTCAGCTTTTCAATACCTGCGTCAGAAATTTCCAAGACTAAGTGAGGCAAAGGTTAAAGAAGGTATTTTTGTTGGGCCACAGATTCGAAATATTTTGAAAGATACACAGTTTGAACACACTTTAACAGGTATTGAAAAAACTGCTTGGAATGATTTCCGTCTGGTGGTCACTAATTTCTTGGGAGATAGAAAAGCTGATAACTATAAAACCCTTGGCAAAAATATGCTGTCATCGTATCAAAAGATGGGCTGTAATATGACTCTTAAGGTACATTTCCTACACTCACACCTGGACTTTTTTCCTGACAATTGCGGAGCCGTAAGTGACGAGCACGGCGAACGTTTTCATCAGGATATTTCAACAATGGAAAAAAGGTACCAGGGAAAGTGGAATCCTTCCATGCTTGCAGACTACTGTTGGACTCTTGGTAGAGATGCTCCAGAAACGATCCATAAAAGAACAGCAAAAAGACAGCGCATATAGTGATTCTTATAAGTATATGAATCTTGTTACTTTTTTTAATATATCCTTAAAAATAAAAAGTTTTTTTTCTAAACCGCAACTAATTTTTTTATTTCATTGTCATTTTTGGATTCAGCGCCCCAAAATTAACAAAGAAGTGCACTTTTCCCACAAGATACAATTAAAAGACTAAAATTTGTTGTCCAGTGTAATAGTCCTTTCTAAGCCTCTGACCAAAAATGAGATGTTTTGTTTTTTCGGTGTTATATGACGTGCGACTTGGGACAATGTTCCAGATGGGCAGGAAAAAAATGTCTATGGACCAATTGTATGGGCCTGTTTGACTGGCTTCATCCACTCAATTTCCCTGTTATGCATGTTCGTACTCGGAGGATTTAAGCCGTCCACAATTGCTCGACTTCGGCGGCTACACTTCGCTGAGCGATTTCTTCGGTTGGCGTATACAGGGTGTCCGCAAAATTGGGGTTTTCCTTTACACGACGTGTAGATCGTGAAAACGTAAGCAATTTTTCTTAGTACCATATACACCAATGTCTTAAGGGAACCGAGATAAAGGGCTCTGCAACATCAAAAATATCTGAATACCGTCCTGTAGCCGCGACCCGCCCCGATATCACCGACTGGTACAAGTGGGTCGGGGTCAGTGTGTCAGGTCAGTATGCAACCTTCAACCGACGGTTACGGTCACGCGTGTAGAGGTAAACGAACCCCTATAATCGATTGCGTTTCAAAAAACAACAAGCACTAGAGACGTGGCTAGAGAAGTGCAAGTATCAAAAACTAAAGTGTGGCAAACGCTGCGTGAAGAGGGGCTGTATCCGTTTCACGTCCAACGTGTACAAGCCCTTCAACCTGACGATTTTCCAGCAAGAGTGCGGTTTTGTGAGTGGTTGTTGCATCAACATGACAATAATCCGGACTTTTTGAAGTGCATATTGGTGTCAGACGAATCTACGTTCACGCGTAATGGGGTGAATAACTTTCGCAACACTCATGTTTGGTCATTTTCAACAAACATTTTCGGTGAATGTTTGGGCTGGCATGGTGAACGGTATGCTCATTGGACCATTTATTCTCCCAAATAGATTGGACGGGATGCAATACCTAGGCTTTTTACGCAACATTTTGCCTTCCTTGTTAGAAGATGTGCCATTAAGTGTAAAACAATCAATGTGGTTTCTGCGTCTGCTCGGTAGCGCTTCAGCTGATTTCATTTTCTGTTGGAGCGGTATGATTTCGGGCAGAGACGTACTTAGCCCTTTTCGTCAACTGCAGAGTGAGTACTTTTGCCTTTATTTTTTTTTACTTGGTCGTTTCACTACACATTACCTTTGTTATTTCAAGGGTAGTTGTTTCTGAAAAGGAAAACCCCAACTTTGCGGACACCCTGTATAACACGTGCTTAATCCTATAAACTCTGTCAAATCACCGCAGCGCCTCCGTCTTTTTTGTCTTGCAGCCGGTTTTCGTCGATTTTTCTGATAAAACAATAGAAGCTTGCGGTTACGGAGATTTTTATTAAGGTGTCGCCGGCAACTTTCACTATTCAATGTGCCGCGGCATAATGGACGTCATTTTTGTAACTGTTTTGATTCATTTCATAATTTCACGAAACGTTTTGCAACCGAATTGCCGCTTTGACTAATTAGCACTTTCCCCGAGGCAGGCCGCCGACGAGTACGCAACCTGGTTTCTACGTTACTGCCGCCTTATGAACGTCTAAGGCGAAAAACAGGCGTGTAATCGTATATATATTGTAGGTATTTACGCTGTAAGTCAAAACTTGAATGATTCAACGATTTATACCACTTTTTTTTATACTCCAACTACCACGAAGGCCTAAGGCCTAAGCACCCATTGGGTACCCTGGGAAACTTCAAGTTCAATGGCCGACGGACCATACGAAATATCTCAAATACATTTTACATGCAAGGTCAACCATGTAGCACTCGAAATCTTTCCAGATGTTCACAACACAACGACCCTTAAACCAGTTTACGTTATACGTTCCATTCCTCCTTCGGGCACTTGTTTCCAGAATAAACCTTCATATACACGCAGGCGGGTATAAAGGTCGCATCTCAGATCAAGTAGTGCGCGCCGTGAAGCTAGTTACAGTATCGCTGTGCTATTGGGTGTAGTGTTTTGATTACCTGAAAGGTCGTTTCTTTTTTTCTGCCTTACTGAATGGATTTATAACCATAATACTTTTATTTTTTATTATATTATTATTTATATTATATGTGAATATCTTTTTAGAATAATATTCAATCATTGGAACAGAATCCTTTTTCAATATTATTATTGACTTAGCTTTGCGAGATTTAATAATTCCTAATCTCTATATACAAGAATGCCAATAGAGTGACAAATCATCTTTCAGATACATTCGTGCATCCATTATTTTATCAACAATTAAAGTTTGTGAACAGGAATACCAATGCGGCACTAATATATTACCAACCATACCTTGTTTTATGACCGACATCAGAATTAATAGGTAATTATTATTTTTTACAGATCCTGAAGCTGCACCTGTCTTCGTAAGTACCTACTACGCTTAAAGATTTATCATATTTATTTACAGACCTATTAATAGCAACATACGTTTTCTATCGGAGTGATTACATCAAGCAAAAACTTGTATACGGTGGTCAAACAACAATTGAAATACTTCTAGAGCAAAAGGTACATCCACAGATAACACAAAGGGAGCTCTTATGAGGATGTAATAATCCTAAAATGTCTGATAAGTGGGTCACAGACTGTTGTACTATACATATATCGCAATCGCCACTTTCCCACGAAGTGCTTATTATAAAAAAACAACTACTAACATGAATAAAACAAAAAAAGGATTAAATCGTTCCCAACCGCCATACAATTGATCCATACTCGTACTCATTTGATAACGCTGAGATTTAGAAACTTTTTCCTGTCCTACCGAAAGTATCGACCATCTGGCAACGTCTGTCATGCATTACTGACCAGTTAGAGCAGTGTGGCGACTGTCTTTATCTTCTCCGGAATTTTATTTTGAAACGTTACCTCCGAAAAAACATATTTCGATGCATATACCTAATCAGACCATACAATGATCTTCTCAAGACATTTGGTGATTTCAATGATATGAAGTCGGAAGAGATGCAACCTGTAGTTAACGAAAGATTCAAATCTACTCTAAAAGCATTAATTACCAGATCTGCTGAGCAGCAGATGCCTTCGGAGGAAGTTATATAAAAAAACAGGAATGGTAGTAACAAAGTTGAACCTATCTTCATGAATCAAATAGACAAGCCTGTACAAGCAACATAACTGTAACAGCATGAATCAGCTTGCAGTGTTGTCGTATAACATCCAAACTCATTTCCGTAATTTTTCGCGATTACAATGCTGCGCCAGTAGCCGTGGGAAGTGATCATACAATAGTTTGTTATACGTAGACCTTACAGTCCAGAAATAAATGGAACAGATATCAGACGTAAAACGAAACCGGTAGAAAATAATAACACGCAAAGTACAACTGGTTTCAGTTTTCGCACCGAAATGCGATACTCTGTATAACTCGCTATATTTCTTCATATTTGTATGTTCATTTAATTGTGTGGAGATTTTTGAGACCGATGACTCAACATTTTTGATAACCAGTCTCGTTGCTGATATCCAGACAATGTTGATGGAATCCTAGACGTCAAATCGGCAACGTATACAGGGCGATTGGAAAATATTAACAACATTTATCAGGTAAAAAGTAAAGTAAGGTAAAGCCGAGATGCAGGATATAGAAGTAATGATATTGAAATGTAGAAAAAAGTGTTTCTTCGGAGTGGATCGATTGAAAGTTTTGTACATTTAATTCTAATACAACATAACCAATAACCAGAAAAAAAATGGTGTCCAGTAGGTTTTTTTATTATTCAACTTCTATTGGATTAGTCAAAATTAAATAAATGCCTAATAAATAAGCTAATAAAGTTATTTACGGCATAATAGCATTTGTCCAGTAAAAAGCTGTCAAACGTTTTTTTTAAATTCTAGGTCCTTACACATTTGGTGAATTTATAGAAGAATTACAATACTGTTGACTCCATGAATTTGGTTGTTTAAAAGCAAATTGTTCTGGTTCGAGAAGGTGTATATGGCCATCTCGAAAACTAATAATGAGGGTAGGCTTCTTAAATAAGTATCTACAGCTATGCTTGGAGTCTACACCTTCCATACATCCTAAAACCTCTAGGTGACTTATAAAGACGTCCTGAGCATTTGATGAGCAGCCCCAGAAGCACAGACCGTATCTAAATCTCGACTCAACTTGAGCATAATATACTAAGTGACATATAAATCCGAACACCCAGTTTAAATGGTTTTATTTTAATAAAATTTTGTATAAGTACTTAATGAAGCATAATAAGTAAATGATAAAAATTTCAAAATGATTGCACTGCTTTAAAGCCCTTTGACCTTTAATAATGTGTGGATGCACCCTGATGTGCTACGCATTCTCCAATGCGCCTAGGCATGCTTCTGATCAGGTGGTCAATGTCCTCCTGTGGTATCTCATTCCAGGCAACCACCAACTCCTCTCGAAGTGCTTCTAGAGTCTGAGGAGGACGTTGCAAATTGAGCAATCTCCTACCCATCATATCCCACACGTGCTCAATTGGGGGATAAGTCGGGAGATCTTGGTGGCCATGGTAACAATGTGACATCATTATGTTGAAAGAAGTCTCTTGTGACTCTTGCAACATGTGGTCGGGCATTATCTTGTTGGAAAGTTGGATCTACCAAGGTGTCAAGATAGGGTAAAAGATGGGGTTCTAGAACTTCGTGGATATAACGCTGCGCGTTCATGTTACCTCTGATGAAGATTAAAGGTGACCTGGAACCATAAGCTATAGCACCCCAAACCATAACTCCAACAGTGTGATGAACATGTCTTTCAACAAAAAACTGTGGATTCCTCCTTTCACCACGTCGCCTTCTAACCCTGGCACGACCATCGTGCATGCCTAAACAAAATCGAGACTCGTCACTAAAGACAATACAGTTCCATTCCTGATCCCAGAGTGACCGTTGTCTGCACCACTCAAGGCGATTACGTCGGTGTTCTCGAGTTAAAGGGAGGACCCAGTGTGGCCGGTATGAAAACAAGCCAAAACTTCTCATTCGTCGGTAAACACTTCGCATGCCAATAGGTCTTCCGTGTTCTGCAAACCATTCATTTGCAATGGACCTGGTAGTGGAGAAACGGTCCCTTAAGGCCAATAATCTTAGGCGGCGATGTTCACGGTCTGTTGTTCTACGGCGGCGTCCAGTGCCCCTTGCTCTTTGCGTACGGCCTTCTCGAAGACATGCCTGACAATACCTAACCACAGTGTCTACACTTCTTTGCATTCTAACTGCAATTGCCCGAAAAGAAAGTGCAGCTTCCCGAAGTCTCACTATACGGCCCCTATCAAACTCACTAAGTTGACAAAAACGTACAGGTCTCCGTACTCTAGGCATCGTAACCGATCGTAAAGGATGTCAAGAACCAAAATCCGCCAACGTTGATTCTTTACTGCGGCTGAAATATTCATTTTTAGAGCGTTAGTGAATTAAAAGAAAGCAGTTTAAAAACCGGAATGTCCAACTGATAAGGCTGAAAATTTTTTCACTTGTTATTTACAGTAAGATAAATACATTCACCAACTGTTATTAAAATAAAACCATTTAAACTGGGTGTTCGGATTTATATGTCACTTAGTATATATATATACTATTATTAACTGATGCTCAGTTACAATGGCTTTCAAACTTTTCATAATAAATAACTGTGAATTTAGTCTTGGAACTACAAAATCATGGTGTGTGTTAAAGCAAAGGTTGCTGTCAACGTGTATCCCTATGAACTTTATTTGATGTTCTAATTGTAGGTTTGTATCTCCAATGTTAATGTTTAAGGGACTTTTTTGCGCATTGTGGGACCTCAGTGCTAAAGTTTTATCCGAATTGAAATACATGAGGTACCTCAAGAACCATCCAATCTCATCTAAAACGTACAACAAACTATTACGCTTACATCACAGACGTCGTCACCTACATATCAACTGAACTGTGCTTCTCTAAAACACTTATCTATAACATTGATATAGATGCTGAATGAAATTGGCCCTAAGGCGGATCCTTGTGGCACACCCACGCTCCCAAACAACGTCATCATGAAGGTTTTTCCCGTAAAACAAGAGTTTTCAGACATTTTCACCAAATAATTCCCCCCAAACCCATTGTTATATTTCGTAGACTAACATGGCCATAATCAACATTAAACATCTTCTTAACGAAAGTAATAAACCAAGAGCAGCCGCTATGAAACACTAAATGAATATTTGTAAACGTAGTTTAACAGTTACCTAAAGCAAGAGTGGTCGTACTCCACTAACAAGAAACAAATAATTAGAAGTCAAATATTGTCTAAACCCTTAACTTCCAAGCTCTAATCGTGTACCTGAAACTCTTCTGTTTAAAAAGCCTGCGTCTGTATGTTTAGTAATTACCAAAACAAACAAGGCACTGGTTCCACATAGTGTGCGTTACTGCTCGGTCACATATGGTGATTATCAGCGTTGAATCACGTATTTATCCGATGACGTAACGTATACGGTCCAAACCAGATCACAGGATGTTTAATTCCTCGATTTATTAACTCTTACAGAGAACGAGTTTTTTAAGAGCTGACATTTTTAAGATTCCACGGCAATTTGATGAAAAATAAGAGGTAGTACATTACAGTAGGTGGAAATACTGGCATGAAAAATCAAGACTTCCATAAACTCGATTTATGTATATTTTCCTGCTCAGCCATAGTCAAAAACAGTTGCGGAGGGGAGATGAATATTTGAGGAAATATTCAATAAAAAAATTACATATTTTATGGTACGGAAACTTAAACCATAACGCGTAAATGTCAATTAAAAATTGCATAATAATAGTAATAATAATTCGGAATTTCGTCAGATGACGATGCAATGCAACTGCTGAATATGTCCAATATACAGGGTGTCCGCAAAGTTGGGGTTTTCCGTTACACGACGTGTACATCTTGAAAACATAAGCAATTTTTCTTAGTACCATATACACCAATGTCTTAAGGGAACCGAGATAAAGGGCTCTGCAACATCAAAAATATCTGAATACCGTCCTGTAGCCGCGACCCGCCGCGATATCCCAGACTGGTACTAGGACACTAGCTCAACCCGACGACAGAACTGGGTCGGGGTCAGTGTGTCAGGTCAGTATGCAACGTTCAACCAACGGTTACGGTCACGCGTGTAGAGGTAATCGCGTAGACGAGAATCCCTCAACAAGCACTAGAGACGTGGCTAGAGAAGTGCAAGTATCAAAAACTAAAGTGTGGCAAACGCTGCGTGAAGAGGGGCTGTATCCGTTTCACGTCCAACGTGTACAAGCCCTTCAACCTGACGATTTTCCAGCAAGAGTGCGGTTTTGCAAGTGGTTGTTGCATCAACATGACATGCCTCGTTCAAACATGAATCAGCAAGAGTCATCATTTATTGGGGTACAAGCATATTGACTAGCACAAACTGGTAATCGACAAAAGTCAGGAGATTGCTTATGCCATATATAGACATTTTGGTACCAGTTGACGAACAGGTATGAGCAGCTCTCTCACGAAGCTATACAAATTGAAGCAAATATTTATACTGCCATTTATTGTATCTGCCAAATGCCTGATTCATAAAAAGTTCTGCATAAACCTCAAACTGGTGAAGCTTGATCTGAACTATATTTCAATAGCAACGAAATGTCGATCACCGTTATGACTGGATCAGTTTACAGTTGCGTGTCGTAAGTGATTAGGTCCCTTGTGGATCTTTCTTGCGGAAAACCATACTGCATACTCCAGAAGCCCTCGATTTACGCATCTCTCCATCGTCTCAGATATGATTATTAGGAGCAGACGCAAGTGAACCTTCGCTTGTGGAAGAAAAGGTAATAATAATATGGGAGGAAGTTAGTGATATGGTTGAGTAATAAGAAAATTGTAAAAAAGAATATTCAAAAATAACGGCATCGCAAATATTTTCACGAGGCATATACAAGTTTAGCTGCTCCGCGGCATTGTAGCTGCTGCAAGTTTGACCTAGAAAAAAGAGTAAAAACATTGTTGTACATGTTTATTGCTAAAGAAATGCATATATTTACAAAATACAGGGTGTCCGCAAAGTTGGGGTTTTCCTTTTCAGAAACAACTACCCTTGAAATAACAAAGGTAATGTGTAGTGAAACGAGGACGACCAAGTAAAAAAAAATAAAGGAAAAAGTACTCACTCTCCAGTTGACAAGAAGGGCTAAGTACGTCTCTGCCCGAAATCATACCGATCCAACAGAAAATGAAATCAGCTGATGCGCTACCGAGCAGACGCAGGCAAACAAGGAAGGCAAAATGTTGCGTGAATAGTCTAGGTATTGCATCCCGTCCAATCGATTTGGGAGAATAAATGTTCCAAACATTCACCGAAAATGTTTGTTGAAAATGTGCCCGACGGACAGCGTGCGGATTTTCTACTGACCAAACATGAGTGTTGCGAAAGTTATTCACCCCATTACGCGTGAACGTAGATTCGTCTGTCACCAATATGCACTTCAAAAAGTCCGGATTATTGTCATGTTGATGCAACAACCACTCACAAAACCGCACTCTTGCTGGAAAATCTTCAGGTTGAAGGGCTTGTCACGTTGGACGTGAAACGGATACAGCCCCTCTTCACGCAGCGTTTGCCACACTTTAGTTTTTGATAATTGCACTTCTCTAGCCACGTCTCTAGTGCTTGTTGTTTTTTGAAACGCAATCGATTATACGAGTTCGTTTACCTCTACACGCGTGACCGTAACCGTCGGTGGTTGAAGGTTGCATACTAACCTGACACACTGACCCCGACCCAGACCCAGACTAATATTTAAATACCTTTGTAGAGTAAGGCTTCAACTGTAATTAAGTTATTTGGTGACCTCAAAAATTGTATTTTTTAACCGAGTTTTTAAGCATTTAATATACGGCACGGTAACCCAGTTCAAATTTGTTTGAACGATTGTATAAATAAAGTACGTTGTTTTTGCCAGAACGGATTTTTTGAGGTTTTGCAGATCATTCTGAACAAAAAAAGCGTCTGGTTCAAGTTTTCTCTAAAGTTGGTAATTTTAGAGTTATACGCGATTTTGTCTCGTCGACAAAGATATGTATTTAAGTTTAAGCTTTGCTCTATGAGGTGGTCCGAAGATTATTTTAAGATAAGTTCATTTTAATGTGATTTTTTGTCTTTTAAGTCAAAGTTGGCGAACTATTGATTTTTTGCAACCAAGTCGACAGATTTACTTTTTTGTGTTTTTCCTTAAAATCAAAATTAAATATATCAACGA